AAAAAAAATTTCTGTACATGCTAGAAACGCAAATGAACATGAACGCTACTTGTAATTAATTCACTATTTTCGTGGTCCGCTTGACCAATTAATACATGACAATTAATTAAGGTTTTTAGTTGATATAAAAAAGTCAGTGTCACAAGCGGGATTCGAACCCAAGATCTTCGGCTGGATACGCAGCTCTACCACTTGAGCTATCGTGACCTCGATCCACTCGGACATCAACTCCCCATCTCAACCCCACCTTATGAGTTTTCCCTCATTTTGCCATTTTTCAAATGTCGTGTAATCGGATTGGATTCTCGACGACAATTGAAATGGCGACGGAGAGCTTTAGTGAAGTGTACTTCATTTTTAAATCAATAATTCACTATTTTCGTGGTCCGCTTGACCAATTAATACATGACAATTATTTAAGGTTTTTAGTTGAGATGAAAAAAAGTTAATGGCACGAGAGGGATTCGAACCCACGACCTTTGGCTAGATACGCCGCTCTACCACTTGAGCTATCGTGACCTCGATCCACTAGGACATCAACTCCCCATCTCAACCCCACCTTATGAGTTTTCCCTCCTTTTGCCATTTTTCAACTACTTGTAATAATAACTTTTAAAATAATATCAACTGAATGTCCTTCTTAATAAGGAAACGGTGGGTAAAAGCTCCGGAATCCATGTTTTGTGAAGAACGTGACGGAGATCTATATACGATTATTTCTTTCTTTTTCATTTTTTAAATTTTTTATTTGCCTTATGCGGAAATAAGGCAAATATTTATAAGTATAAGGTAAATATTTGTAGGCAAATATTGCACTGAAAGTTAAACAAGCATTCACAATTGTGCAGTAATTGCATTTGACGTACGTTTAAGAGAATTTGATCAAACTGAGCATTACAATTCAAAAGAACTGAATTTCTTAAAGAACGGAAGTGAAATTTATAAATAAGTAAAACTGGCATGGATAGAAAATATATTAAGGTGTTTTCAGTCCGTCCCGTTACGTTGATTTATTTCTGTGCCAGTACATTAAAGATAATTGAAAAATTGAAAATTCTCCTACTTGTAAGTCAACAGCCCAAGCCGTGTAAATAATGTCTAATAATTTTGCGTTCGTGATATTCCAATTTTGAGCGCCTCTGAAAATTCAATTTCGAACTATAAATTGAAAAAGTAGGCGTTACATACATATAAACATACATTGTAGATAGTAAATATTCTCGTGAAAAATATATTAAAAACGTTGTGGGTTTATAAATTTTGAAATTCAATTTGGAAGATGCTTATTATATATGCAAGGTTTAACCTGAACTTATTCCAAGAAATCTATTCAGAAGTAAAATTTGAACTAAGTTGAAGCTCAGAAAAATATGTAATTGTAGCTTTAATTTACAAGAAACGTTTGGTCTTGACGCTAATTTCAATAAACTGAGGTTCATTTTTAACGGAAACTCCCTGTAAATTTTACCACTAGTTGGCGTTTTAAAATCAAACAGATTCCCCCACCCAAAAAAAAAATGAACTAAAGTTATTGCTGTACTTAAGTAATTATAACGCTTTGTTGGATCCAGCTAGATAGAGGTATCTTAGCTATGGCAAAATAAATGAGTTATAAGTGTTAAGTTCAGGCTGGCACATTATTTTTTTTTCAAAAATTAAAGAAGTAAAGTAGTAGCAAAATGGGTTATTCCTGATTTTTAAACAACATCCAGTCTTCCCTCTATTAATTTACAAAATTTAACAGCTCTGATGTCCATCTGCACGGTGACTGATAACGTTTGACACAGGCAATTCTGGTGCACGAATTACGAAAGTGTAAATTATAAAAAAATATTTTTTAATAATTTATACTTAAAATAGTGGTTTATTAATAACAGTTCATTTATTGTATTTAATTTTTCTTAGTGTATATATTTACACTAAATATATTTCTGTAATGTAATGTATGTTGCTTTATATATTTTTGGAGTTTTCCAGTGGTTTATTCTAGTCTGATGAAGTTTATTAAAATGACATCCTTAATGAATTCTGAATGTTTAAAATTTTTATTCTTGGAACGATTTAGGCTTTTCTGTTGCCCCTCCTCATCAAATTTATGCCCTATTTAAAAAAATAAATAAAATAACATGTTAAACAGAGTTCATCAAGGATGTTATTTTAATAAACCTCTTCAGTCTTCAATAAACGGCTGGAATCCTAAAAATAATAAACATCAACATACATAATGCATAATAATATTTATATTGCTTATTACAGTTGTATGGTTGTACAGGTAAAGAAAAACGCTTGGGCTATCATGGAATATATGTTTGCTAAAAGATCAATTTTCCTTGTAAACAACTGGAGACATTAAATTGCCACCATTTCTATATTAAATTTTCTCTAATATTTTTTTAACTATTAAGTAAAAAATTGACCTTCGTATTGCTAAACAATCAGCTTAAACACAAGCTCGTTTTTTTTTATGTTGTTTAGTTGTTTCATTTTATATTGTTAACAAACAGCAACTTGGTACGAGTCTCAAAGAAAAATAATATTACCTGTACAACCATAAACAATATAAATATATTTATAATGTATGTTGTTGTGTGTTTTTTTAGTATTCCAGCCGTTTATTGTAAACTGATGAGGTTTATTAAAATTATATTCCTTGATGAACCCTCAGTGACCATGTTATTTTATTTTTTATTTTTTTAACGAGTGTATAAATTTTTTGAAGAGGGGACCGAAGAGTTAAACAGGTCCAAGAATAAAGGCTGACGGGGGGCGTCGGTGGCCCCAACGGTTTAGACGTTGACACGGCGCTCATCACTGTAAGGTGAAGGTCCTGGGTTCGAATCCAGCGGCCCTGTATTCGAACCCGACACACTTACAAATGGGCTTTTCTTCAAAAACACCGTCAACCCGAGGGTTGATACCTCTGCCGTTGCGAACCCTCGTAAAAAAAAAAAATAAATAAAGGCTGACTTTATCCTACATGAATGAATAACCTTAAAAAATCGAAAGTTTTTCTAATATAATGTCATTAAAAATAACTGTAACATTTCAAATTTTTATAACATCGTTAATTTTCATGTAAAACACGCTTTCCAGTGATTTAATAGTGCAGGCTTATTTTTTTATGGGATTTTAAGTTTTAAGTATTCCTTTACCTCATTTTCTTAAAAAATTGGCCATATGTCTAATGTTGATTTTTAGTCCGATATTAAAAATTAAAAATAGATATTGTTTGAAATTTATTTACTTTCAGAGAAAATGTCCTATTGCATGTTTAATTTAACGTCCTACAGGGTGTTCGACTACTCGTGTTACAAACTTTGCCAGTAGATTCTAAATTCAAAAAGTAACCAAAAAGTCTTAATTAACTATGGTCCGAATCTCAACAGTTTCCGAGTTATTTCACTTTTTGATTTTTTAAGATTTCACGACCTTACTTCAAATAAACAATGATAACTCCAAAACTAAAAGGATTTGGATAAATCCGTTAATACCATTGAAAACTACGTTAAATTTCCAATAAGATGTAATCAATACTAAACTTGTAAACGTTCGTATTAAGCGTTTTAGTAGCGAGAACTTTGAAAAAAATTTTTTTTTCAAAGTTGAAAAACTTACTAAGGTGATTCTAAACTAGTATTTCCAAACCTACAGACCAGCAAATTTCAGAAAACGTACTCCATTTAATATCTTTTTTCAGTGGTGCAATTGCTTTTTTTATTACTTTTTTCAAAGATGAAGAAATTGATGAAGGAAAAGAAAAAACCGTGGTTGAAGGATTGGTAAGGTGGAATATTTAAAAAAAATAAAAACTCACGAACGTTTACAAGTTTGATTACATCTTATTGGAAATTTAACGTAGTTTTCAATGGTATTTACGGATTTGTCCAAAACATTTTAGTTTTGGAGTTATCATTGTTTATTTGAAGCAAGGTCGTGAAATCTTAAAAAATCAGAAAATGTGAAATAACTCCGAAACTCTTTTGGTTCCATTATGAATGAAGAATCTACGGGAAAAGTTAGTAACACGAGTAACCGAACACATGGTCGTAAAATTTTAAAATTTTGCATGAAATATGACCGGGCCTGGCAAATGGGTACCGCACACGTACTCAGACTTGCAAATGCTATAAACACAGAAGGAACATTTTAATGTGTATAAAAATAGAGCAGCTTAAACATGTTCTTTCTCCTTTTGTAAAAGAATTTGAAGATTTCAGATAAAACTAACTCTTAGTAGAAAAAAACCTGATTTTGCCCGGGTCGATTTTTCCAGTCGAAAAATATGAAACGTTTCAGAAAGAGAAAACGAGGCTTTTGCTAGGGTAATTCCATTATCCTTTCAATAGTATGTCAAAAACCTGTTGAGCCCAATTGACGTTGAATCGGGTTGGGAGAGTGCCTGTACAAAGATGGGCGCACCTCCGGGAACAAATAACTAGGAAGGAAAGTGAAGAGATCGGCCCGACCTTTGTGATAGAACGGAATCGGGTCGCGGTCGAGATCTGCGAAAAGGCGAGGCCAACTGGCGAAAATCGTTCTTTAAGAGTGCAACGATGGATTATTCCGAAACCCCGCTGTACGTGGGTGTAATGGTCGTAAAATTTTAAAATTTTGCATGAAATATGACCGGGCCTGGCAAATGGGTACCGCACACGTACTCAGACTTGCAAATCGGCTTATTTATAATGCAACCGGGACCGCGCTGATTGCTGTATGTTTTTCCCAGGCGTGGGCAAGAATCTCACGAGAAAGTTCGGCGTCGGCGGTACCCCCACAAGACTAGCCGGGTCAAATGGCCTTTTTAAAAATTAAGTATGCTAAAACACGTTTCGTTCGAAGTCTCGTTCTAAGCAGACATCCGGGTATAGGCAGAAAAGTATTACCGATGAAACACCTTGCGGATAATTAATCTCCGATGTAATACATGTTTCTTACCTACCTTTAAACGCCATTAAAATTTAAGGATATTTCAAACAAAACCTTTAATTTTTTGTGTGCAGAAAATGCTACAGCAGATACTGAACGATATGTGGGTCGACCCGGAGATCCTGGCGGAGTTGGACGAGAGCCAGAAACAGATTCTCTTCTGCAAAATGCGCGAGGAGCAGGTGCGGAGGTGGAAGATTTGGGACGCGGCGAATCCACCGAAGCCGGCAAGACCTTCAAGTGAGTTCTTTTGGAAAATATGTTACTGAACCTGTCCTGAGCGATATGGTTTCAGGGAGTAAGAAAAAAGTCGACTTCCTGCTAGACGCCCGCGGAGAGCCTTGGACCTGGGTCATGGGCGAACACCAGAACGACAAGTCCATCGAGGAAATACTGGAAGAGGAGGCCAGGGAAGCGGCTAGGCGACTTGCAGAAGCTGAAAGGTACCCTGTTGTTCTTTCTTTTTCTGAATAGTACAACTTCAATCCACTTCTACTGTTTTTGTATGAAATCAAAACAAGCAAGAATAGGCAGAACGGGGTGAGCAAAAACGACCAAACTAACAGGTCCGATAGTTTTCTTATAAACCTCACCACAAAATTTCACAAAAAATCCTTTTTAAAAAGATAGTTCCTACTCGCAGTAAGTTGTTTTGCAATGATCCGGATTTCGAGTTTTTAGCTCATCATCAGGTTGTAGAACTCCTTCAACCGATGATGAGCTAAAAGCTCGAAATCCGGATCATTGCAAAACAACTTATTGTGAGAAGGAACTATCTTTTTAAAAAGGATATTGAACACCGCACTCTCTCCATCATCCATCATTTCTAAAAAATATGTTACTTCTCTAAACTCTTATATTTTACTGATACCTATAGCCTAAAATCATCTTATTAAAACAACAATAAGTTTGCGGGGTAATCATGTTCTGTTTCTAAGTAAAGTTTAAATTTCCAAGATCGTAGATGAGCAAAACAGGTAGCCAAGGCGAAATAAACTCTATTTAGTAATTTCCTTATCCAATTTATACATCCGTCGTTTTTAAAAGTATGAATGACAGTCAAAGGATTATCGCTATAATCTAGTTCATCCGACCTTCCCTTGACACGAATTTAATTAGCCAATGAAAAAAAACCGACTTGAGATAATTTGTTTAGTAGATCCCTGTTAAAATCGAAACATTTCGTTTTTGTTTTTTGTCTGGAAACTTGTTTCGAGGTTGATAAACTATTAACGCATCCCCTGGGGTGAAATAGCTCCAGCGGCAGGCGTATTTTTAGAATATTCCATAAGAAGTCAGGTTGCTGGATGTACTCACCGTTGACTCCCAGCATGCAAAATAAAATATTTCAACAAATATTTTTACATTCCGCTAACAAAATAGTCGTGTTTTCTTGATAGAACAGATTAATTTTGCCAACTATTCTTCAGAGGATTATATTACCGCGATTATTTTCAGCCTGACCTAGCCTCACGGCCAAATTGGCCCAATAAAAAAGTATAAAAATTAATTTATAACAGCCGATAAAGTTAACAACCGGGTTATTTATTTATTGGTTAAGATTAGGAGAACAATAGTCAACAATATAAAACAGTATAACTCTTTTCGTCAGTTTGTCCCCGAAATCTCGAAAATAACAAGTAAATTATAAAATAAAACGCCTAATTAAACGAAAAAGTTGTATCAAAAATAATTATAATGTTTTGTTAACGACTAAACATTCGATCAAACAATATCCTGTTTTTTTTCTTTTTTAACTCTACTTCTACTCCATAGATTTTGACTACGCATTTCTTTCTTAGTGCTTATGCTTTTGAATCATCGAACTCGACGATTTACCGCATTTCAGCAATTTTTCAGTCATTTATTTGTCCAAAGAGAGGGCAATAAGCTGTAATTTTTCTGTACGATTTTCTCAAAATCTAGTTGATCTATTACAACCAATCTTTATTTTATTTTATTTTCCTTCTTATATGTGTGGTGATTAGTGATCGTTAGTTGATGATTATTTGGAAATCGTGAGATGAGGTCTGGCGTGACGTTAGTTTCAGAAAAACATTTTCTTTGTCGTGCACGTTTCGACCTTTATTGAGATCATCTTCAGTGCCTGGGATTTACAAACATTGTTTAAATTTAACAAATACATGTAGGATGTGGAAAAAAGTGAATTTATGCAATGCAAAAAAATAATTTTTTATCCAATCAATTTTACGCAGAAAACACTTTGAGTGAGTAGAAATAATTTAATATAAAAAATATTATTTTGCATTGTATAAATTCACTTTTTTCCACGTCCTACATGTATTTGTTAAATTTAAACAATGTTTGTAAATCCCAGGCCCTGAAGATGATCTCAATGAAGATCGAAACGTGGCACGATAAAGAAAATGTTTTTCTGAAACCTACATCACACCAGACCGCATCGCACGATTTCCGAATAATCATTTCCTTCTTATACTACAAATTCGTAGTTAAGAACTTTTAAAAACAATGAATCGTTGATTTTTGTCAATATCCTTAAGTTGCACACGTTTTTTTAAATAAAAATATATATTTCTCAGTTTCTATGTTTGTTAATGTTTCTCTCTACGATTGTTTCATTATTATTGCTCTAAAAAGATCCTTTCAATATGATGAAGGGTTTTGAAACTTTTTAGTAAAAAAATTTTTATTGAAAATAACATACTTTACGATCTAACTTTGTAATATAGTTGGGTTTTTGGCTGCTAAATTAATCATTCTGTTTTTATTTTTTAAGGCAGATCACCTCAAATAAAATCCCACATAATTACCTGATCTTTTTCAATTATCTTGTATTGAAAAATAAATATTTATGAAATTTCGTCAAACTAATGAATAATGATTTTTTGAAAAATGATTGCTTATGTCCAGGTACTTCGCATAAACACACAGCATGAATGAGAACAGAACTTTAAAAAAGCGTTTACTTACAGAATGGGTAAATTTTTCTCACTGAAAATACAATGTGTGCAAATCAATTTTTTTTTAAACTGCTACGACAAGATTTTAAAAAATGTCCAGTTGTCCAAACTAAACAGGAATGACATTTATGTTTTATTTTTTGTACTTTGTAAATTGCCGCAGTTCTTGAAACATGTGACGTCCCACGTACCATATTTGTGTAAATGCAGCAACATTCTTTTGCTGTGTTTCTTTTTTTAAATGACAATCTCTGATCGTCCTTCGAAAATAAAAAGCTTTCAATCCGTCCGAAAGAAAACTGGTACCGTTCTCCGTGTTTTTAAAACATGAGATTATATATCGTTTATCATTTGTGGTGTGTTTACTTTAGATTAGTTTGAGTTGAATTGGCAGCGGTTAGAAAGAACAGAGTATCAATATTTATCTTCAAATTCAATTTTATTGCCCAAGTTGCAAAATTCTTGCTTGTATCGTGCAGTAAGAGATGGTTCTTTTAATTAACTAATCCGTTGAAAAGAACGACAGTTATTTAGTTAAACGTTCTTTAATTTTTCGTGTTTCTTTCAGATTGGCCGAACTTTTGGAACAAAATAAGAGACAAAGGGAAGAGATAGAAGTCGCCCAGCAGAAGCTAGACGCTGAAGAGATTTATTGTTCGGCTGACGAGCTTCGGATCAATGCCAAACCAGTTATAAACAACATTCCGCCGATTCAAAACTTTTTGAAACGGGATGCCCTCCAGGAAATTTCCTTCAACAAGGTCTGTTTTTTCTTTTTTTCTGTAAACATGGTCATTTCGATTCCAGACCTATTTTGTTCACAGTCTTACTTCTTTCCAGCCCTCGAACGTGTCTCAGAAGGTAGCCTTGTGGGAAAAGCGCGTCGTTGAAGAAAGAACTTCCGAGATATACAAAAAGTTACAAAAAATAAAACTTGACGCCGCCAAAGAGGCCGAAGAAGCAGAAAACAAACAGGAACCCTTTTGGAGAGAACAACGTAAGTTTTCTTAGTTATAAAGAATTTAATATATATTTTATTGTGTAACTTAAAATTATAGAGAAAAAAGCAAAAGAAGAAGAACTGAGGAGGAGGGAGATTGCACGGATTGCAAGAGAAGAGCACAGAAGATCCATGCAGGAAATTGAACCAGAAACCCCAGCGTGTGTATCTAAAAGTCTCGATGAAAATTGGTTTTGTTGTACATTATGTTTTATTATTGAATAATTCTAGGCTTCCGCCAAGAAAAGAAGTTGTGTCATCGTCAAAGCCACCGAATAAAGATGCCATAGTTGAATGGTTCAAGACAAGCCAGGTTATCAGAAGAGCTGGTCTCGATCCCAACACAAATTCCGTTGCTCCATGGTTTCACGGTAATCAGCCTTTTCTTCAATTCATTTAATTAAATGCCAAATTTGGCCAAAAGTGCTTTGGTTATACCATTGCTTTTACATAAAAATAATAATTTTAAAAATTAGAAATCCAAATAATGTTTATATTGTGTTGAAGGGTTAATTACAAGGCAGGAGGCTGAGAATCTTCTCAATTTGCAGCCAGCCGGTAGTTTCCTTGTCAGAGTATCTGAAAGGATATGGGGCTATGCCATTAGCTACAGAGATATCGACAGATGCAAACATTACCTCATCGACGCTTCCAACGACCACTACCAGTTTCTGGGAACAAACCAAATCTCCCACAAGACCTTAGGTAGGAAAATTCAAAATATAAAATAAAACGGAAACATAAAGGAATTTCTTTTAGGTGATCTTGTGACTTATCATGCAACCAGGCCGATTACTGAAGCCGGCGGGGAACTGCTCGGTCGAGCTTGCCATAGAACAAAACCTCTTCCGCTTGTCTTTCAGGGTCTTTCAATTCGAGCGAGATAACCAGAATGACTTGGAAGAGCGCCATATTTTCTATATACCATTCTGGTTTTGTGATATCCCATTCCCCTTGTATTGCCCCCTTCAAAGCCATGTCGCTTCTCTTTATTTGTAAGATTTACTCAATTTGATATGCTTCTATTAAAAGTCATACTTTTTAGCGATTGAGTAAGCTGTTTAAGCATCTTTTGAGAAAGGATTGATTTTCATTTTTAAATATGTACATTGTCATTAATATTTTAATAAGACTATTCTCAAAAAGGAATATTATAGATTTTTTAAGCTCTTATAAAATGTTAAACATTGCCATAATGTTAGCGGTTGGTGGCATTTTTTGTTATACATATTTAGTTATAATGTAAAACTACTAGTATTTTAGATGAGCTTGTTTTTCTTGAGTTGACCTGGACTTAGCTGCTTTTACTGGTGGTTTCCTAATGGCAATGGATAAAACTTATATTTAAATTGACTTTAGTTACATAGCCCTTTAGTTCAATTAATTTTTATAATTAGTGACAGTTTATTAAAAATAAAAAGTGATATCTTACAAATATATTCTTAAATATAATAATTTTAATTTTCCCAACAAACCAAAATCCACAAATAATTCATATATTTTATTATTTATAACAGTAATATTTACAAACATATATTGACTCCCTATATCAGCGCTCTGGGAAAATTAGAAATTATAAAATGAAATATAGACACAATCTTGAGAGGAAATTAATCAAGCTTGGGATATGATGATGATCCGGTCTCACATTTATTATCAGGACTGTCGCATATCGAACAATACGACAGTTTCCTTCTTGCAAAGTGTAAGCACATGCTGTCCACATCTGATGGCTGAAATAAAAATAATTAAATCAACACAGATTGGCAATTATTTAAATAATTAGCTTTAATCAAAAGATCTATATATTTTATCTTTAAAGTCTTTATATTGCTCATTTAAACTACTTCTACAAATCTACAACATAAAAATCAACATCTAGTACCAAGAACAAAACATGCTGCAACCAACAATCTACCGATTGTATTGTACAAATTGTACAAATCTTAAAACAGTATTTAGAATTTTTTCTATTAAGGTTTGCTAATACTGGGATATAGTTGCGAGGAATAAAGAAGAACTGAGAATTGCACAATTTTCAGAGGACTAAAGCAATATTAAAAAGATTTTGGCTTTTGTTGACTTTGTACTTCACTCTATAAGGCATGCAATTTATAGCATTATATGAGAGTACCTATAAGAGTCATTTGGGAAGATAACACCACTTGCCGAGTTTTGGAGGCTTTGAATTTAACATGTTCTGAAACTAAGTGTATGTACATGTCTCCATAGCCCATAGAAATACAATATTATATTGAAGATGAATTCTCCCGCAAAATCTTTATACAATATAACACAAGTTCAATTTTAAAATAAAAATACTCACCGGAGCTGTAAACAGTATTGACTCTTTTTTCCGTTTCTTAGGATCCACTGTAATAAAATATCGAGATTATACTTTTTGTTATAACCGTTAAGGAAGAAAAAATTCCTTACCTCCAGGAAGATCAGGTAAGCAAAAATCCTTAGGCTTAGGTTTTTGCGGGATAGCAGGACAGATAGTGTTCACGATTGAATCGTTATCAGCAAGCCTGCCGTTGATTTGAAGAATGTGCTTCGTCTGGGGTAGTATGTCCCTTCTATATCTTGCCATAAGCTTGCAGTTTCTTAACAAGCCCGGCATTAATTCTTCCTTCACAGAAGTTATCTCACTTTCTCTGTTGGTCAAAAAAAAAAATTAACAAATTAAAAAAAATTAATATTATCAAAGGTACCGGGTTTTAGCATACAATGGTGGTATTGATGGAGAAGGCTCTACTCGCTCTGTCACTTGATCAACTTGTCCAGCATCAGAACTTGTAAGGTTAGGTGATTGTTGAAATTGGAGAGGCAATGTTGAATATGAAGATTTACTAATCGTAGGTGGCTTCATTGATTCATTACTTTGCTACAATTAAAATGTTATTATTGAGTTTTTATTAGTTTATAATTACATATTATAATTTTTTTAATAAAGATTATCCTTGCCAGGATAAGTTAACCCACAACCAGAGGCTTCCTGCCCCTGGGCAGAGCTGGCTTAGATACAAAGAGGTAAGGACCCTTTTGCACAACTGGAGGAGCATCTTTTTTATGTTTATAAAAATTGTAAACGTTTAAAAAGTTTTATTTTAGTTTATTTGGGTCATGTTCAATTTATTTTTAATTTAATTATTTGAGTTTGTGGCTGTTCTTTTTTATACTCATGAATGACACAATTTGCTCAGTGCAAAGAAAATTAGGTTTATTGAATATGTTTAATACCTGTTTTGGTACTGGAACTAAATCTATTTTCCAGTCTGTGAGTTTTGGACAACTCACTGAAGCTGCTAGTAGTTCTAAAAATGTTAAAAATATGTTAGCGTGCAATTTAGACCAATATTTGATTGGACATACCTGTGTGGTCAGTTGGTGGTGAACAGGGGACTTGAGAAACTACTGGTCTTTTCAAGTTGTCAAGTTCAATCTTGCGGTAAAGTTCTGGGAGGAACCTTCTGGGAAATTGATCCCATGTGAAATAGACGTGCGTGAAAAGCTGGTGGCTCTTCAACCTCTCTGATGGATCCATTCTTGAAAATTGAATTTGATGTTAAATTTAACAGAGTACAAAACACAAAGTACAATTACCTCAAACACGATGAGATTATATGGAGTGTTCTATTTTCCACCTTAGGATACATTTTCTTTAAAGCTAAATAGCCTTTTGGCACCTCATCTTCATCTTCCACATGCTGTAATTGGTTGACTACTTCTGCACCTTCATCTATTCTGCTGGTCATGAAGCCAGTATCTAATCTTGTACGCAGGCATTGCATTTGCCTTGGAGTCAAATTCCCTGAAATACTTTTATTGTTATTAAATAAAAATTTAATTCTTTCAGAGAAATTTCAAGAATTTTAAAGGTACCAATAACTGATGTTATTTTGTACAACTGGTCTATATCTGAGTCACCCGGAAAAAGTGGTTCGGATGTAAGCATCTCTAACATCATACAGCCTAATGCCCAAATATCCACAGCCCTGTTCAAAATAATTTAAATTATTTACTTTGTGTGTGATATTGTGCAAAATTCAGAATGCAATTAACATAAAAACAATTTACCTTCCATATTTTACATCACCGACCAAAAGCTCAGGTGCCCTGTACCATCTTGTCGCTACATACTCAGTAAATGGGTCTTGAGAAATAGTTATGAACCTTGCAAATCCAAAATCACATAGCTTGATGACATCGTTAGTTGATACCAATACATTCTCTGGTTTCAAGTCCCTATGTACAATCTGAAATGTAAGAAATGTAAAATGGCTGAGCACTTTGAACACTGTAAAAAAAATATTACATTGTTATTATGGCAGAAATCCAACCCACGGATAATCTGATAAGTGTATTCTCTCGTTTTTGACTCAGATAGACCATGCAATTGTTCAAACTTGTCAAGCAGTGTCTCCTTCATGAATTCAAACACAAGGTGGAATCTCTTCTTCCTCCGAAACACTTCAAGCATATTTACCAAATTATCATGGCGAAGTCTCTGAAAAGTTTCATTTTATTTGACATATTGAGTGAAATTATGCTTTTTAAGGGCTTACTTTCAACATCCTTATTTCTCTTAGTGCCATCTTTCTTGCAGACTGGTCTTCTTCTGTCTCTATAAATTTCTTTATTGCTACCAACTGCCCCGAGTCCTTGTGCCGGCATTTTATTACCTGTCCATAAGATCCTTCTCCAACCAATCCTATGACCTCGTATTTATCCATACCTTTCAATCAATATCTAAAATTTAAAAAAAAAATCCTTTAGACTAAATGAATCCCAAAATATCAGTCAACTCCAATAAGTAGCACTAAATCGCTAAAATTTATTGACCTCTCATTTGTGTACCATTCCATTTTTTCTGTAAAAGGATTTATGATCCCTAACATCTAGGATTCACGCTATTTGGTTCTCAAAACGTTTAAATAAAACTAAAATAAAAAATATCATTTTTGCCGCTCGAGATCCTAGGATTTATACATTATAATATATATTTTCATCATCTAGACTAGACATTAACATGCGTACTTGAGCAAGCATGCGTGTCTATGTTTGAGCATGCACTTTTATGAGCGAGCTTGCATCCCTAACTAATTAATTAACACATGTTGCTTAAGATGTCGTTTCTTAATGTTTATTTGGAGATAGTGAGATGCGGTCTGGTGTTTCTTTTTGTTTAAGTGTTTCTTGAAGGATTTTGTTTGTTTATTTGATGAGAGAATGGGTAGGATCTGATTTGATTGTACTGTATGTATTTGTGTCGTTGATAATTTTGTTTTTCCTTGCACTCTTTTTTGCTGATTGCTACTGTTTGTTTTGTTTTATCAGCAGAAAGAACGAGTATGTCAGGATTATTTTTGAGAATTTTTTTAGTTTTGGTTTATGTTTGTTGAGATATGTTGTGTTGATTGGTAGTGAGGTGTTGTAAGTGATTTGTTATTGTATGTTATTAGGTTTCATGGTCCGCTTGACCAAATAAATTCTTTTCAGTTAATTAAGGTTTTGGTTGAGATAAAAAAAATTGAAAAATAGCAAAAAGGAGGGAAAATTCAAAAGGTGGAATTGAGATGGGAAGTTTGTGCCTGAGTGGGTCGAAGTCACGATAGCTCAAGTGGTAGGGCAGCAGCGTATTTAGAAGAAGGTAATGGTTTTTTTTTTTTTTTCTTATATGTGTGTTTGTTATTTAATTCTTATATATGTGTTCAAATTGGGGGGGGGGTTATTGTGAAAAAAGGGCCAGAGGCGACGGTGGGAATCGAACCCACGACCGCGGCGTGAGAGTCTCTCATGCTAACCACTCGGCTACCGCGGTCCCGGTAGTGGGTTCGAATCCCACTTGTGACACTGACTTTTTTTATCTCAACCAAAACCTTAATTAATTTTAAAAAATTGGTACTGTGTTAATACATTTTGATCATGTTATGTCTTTTTCTTCTTCTGTTTTTATTGACTTTTGGATCGCATAGTCTACATCAGTAATTAATTTAGCTGTTGGGAAATCTGTTTTGTTGTAAGGAATGTTTGGGACCAAGTGATAGTCAAGTGTGAAGTTTTGGATTTCTGGAGGAATGTTAGTTTTTGTTATCAGGTGTTTGTTTGTTGATTAAGTTGTTTTATGGTGTGTGTTTTTAATTTGGTCAAAGGGAAAATTGTATGCATCTTTTTAATGTTTGTAGAATTTTTTTAGTGTTTGTTTTTGTCGTTTCTAAATTGGCGGCGCTGAGTCTTAATTGGTGTAATTTTTGGTGTTAGTGTCTTAATGTTTTTAGTGTTGGTAGTGATTTCTATGTTTAAAATGTTTCTTTTGAAATGTATTGTGGCCTTATTTATGTCGTTAATTCTGGTGGCATTTGTGAAGTTAAAATTGTTTTTGATGTGAGTAGGAAATACCTTGTGTTGACTGCATTACAACAAAACCACATCTGCACTCCCGTCCTCCAAATAATCATCAAGTAACAGTCACTGAACACCGCGCATCGTTTCCTAATTAAAACGTTTAATAATAAAAATAATATTCTTAAGTTTTAAGAAAACCGGATTGAGATAGACGCTCAAATGGCTGCAGATTAAAAAAAAGACGCGTGAAAGAAGTAACAACGGCCGGGGTGATGACGGTGGCCATAGGTCAGCTCCTAAACCTTCCGTATAAATAAACAAGGGATAATCCGCATGGAAGATTATGTTAAAATCCATGCACCATTTTATTAAAGTCGTTTAATCAAACCAAGTAGGGCGAATGGTTATTTATTTTGAATCAATGAAAGGCGGCCGATTGCTGTCGAACACGCACTCGTTCCGGGCCATTACTCTACTCGCTTGTCAATCTTTGTCCTCGTTCATTCCTTGTTTTTCTTTGATATGAAACGACTTTACGCATGAAAGCACTAAAAGCGACAAAGAGCCACTGTTTCAGAGAATGTTATTCCACACAAAAACGAGCTATCTAAAAGAGAAAGACGAGAAGACGTGACATATATCAACCCTTAAGAGGGAAATTTGTCAATACAATAGAATATTTTGAAAAAATTTCGGACTTCGTGTTAAAATTAAATTAAAGATACAGCATAAGAATTTTACATTTTAAAGAATACAATTTTTTTTATTACATTTATTTGGTATTTACAACTACAAGCGATGTATTAAGTAAAAATGTTCGTATATGTTGAATTATCATTTGAGGCTCTTGTAGGAGAAGTTGCCCAGTGGTAACACTCCTTCACACTGATATCTTGTTCAGTCTTCACACAAAGAGAAGGTCTCGGGGCCACTTTCGCTTCAATCATCTTGGAGGATTTTCAGGTAGGGTTGGAAATGATCACTTTCGTACGAATAGATTACTGTGTGTGTTCAGGATTGATGAAATTTTTTATATCGGGTTTTGATGAGTTCATGTACAAACGGGATGTGTAGGTCTTTGTGGATAGTGTAATTTGAAACGTAAAAAGGAGCATTTATAATTTTAGATTGGATTGATTGGAGACGCTGGGAATTGGAATCCTTGGTTGAGCCCCACACTTCACAACCGTACGCCCAGAGAGGTCTAATCATTGTCTTGTAAATTAAAAGTTTATTTTCAAGGTCTAATTTTGATCGTGAGTCGAGTAGTCTTTTCAACAATTTATAACGTCGGTTTGTTTGCTGTCTTTTCAGTCTTGTATGGGGATTCCAAGTCAGTCGTTTATCCATAAAAAGTCCAAGATAACGCACAAGGTAGGCAATGGAAATATCTGCAGTGTATATGGAAAATAGAAAAGGGCCAAGTATGCTTCCCTGAGGAACACTCGCCCTTATGGGTCTCAGTATAAGATAGTACGTATGAGGGAGGATGTTCCTCAGTTTCCAAAGCAAGCCCGAGTGCCAGACTCGATCGAACGCCCTAACCATCCCTAACGATCCCCCCAAAAAAATACAATTTAAAATTTGTTTCTGCACTCCAGAAAAGAGTCTCGTCTACTTCGCGTTTCTTATTTTACAGACAATTAGCTAGCAACTCAGGTTTTTTTAAGCTTAATTACAGGTAAATCGCAAGGCTTGTCTTTGGGTGAACTTCGCTGGCTTTTCAAGATGAGAGATGATCTTTTATATCTAAATGGTGCCCACTTTCAGACTGGGAAATGTACGGTGTCCTGCATGCAATTCAGGTGTTAGGGAAGACATTGTTCATTTTTTTTGGCTGAATGCACCATTTTGTCATAAATCCGCCGTTTACACTTGAATTATCTTGTAATTGCTTAATGCTCTATTTAAGTTAATATGTTTAATTTAATTAAATATGCTCGACATGCCTGGCACGACCAGTATGAATAAGTGATGGAATTCAATTTCTAATGAATCTTTGTTTTTCTTTTATCTTCATTGTTTTCTTTAAATTTTGTTTTCCTTATTAAGTATTTCTTGCTTTTTCCTTTAATTGTAAAAAACGGGCACTATTGCTTCTTTATATTATCCGGCGACCTCCGGCAGATGGATTTTCTTTTTCCATCCTGTATAATACTTTGTTTTTTTCTTATTTAACTGTGTTTAATTGTTATGTATATTATTATATTATTAAAGATACAACATATTTCTACAGAATAATAAAGTTGTGAGATTTCTCCATGTTGTCTGGTGGACGAAAGCTGAAATTTGGTCGTTGGATGAACAGAAACGACCAAGCAATATTGAATTTTGGGGGCGTCGGTGGCTGCAGCGGTTTAGGCGTTGACACGGCGCTCATCACTGTAAGGTGTCCCGGGTTCGAATCCAGCGGCCCTGCATTCGAACCCGACATACTTACAAATGGGCTTTTTTCAAAAACACCGACACCCTGAGGGTTGATATGACCTCTGCTGTTGCGAACCCTCGTAAAAAAATAATAATCATAATAATATATTGAATTTATTATTTGGCCCTTTTCGAACAAAATGTCTGGTCACTCTGCCTATCATCCTGATTTAGGCTGTCTTCATGCATCAATCTTTGCCAACATTGAAGATGGCGAAAAGCCGAAACGCGTCCAGCAAACCAAAATGTTCTACACTGACAGGCAAAAATTCCACCCACTTGTAAAATAACTTGATTTGTATATATTTATCATTTCACGTTTTTTAACGTTTAATAATTGAATCTTTGTCAAAAAACAAAAAAAATGTAAATTGCTAAGGAAAACAAAAAGACAGACAGATAAAATTTGTTTTAATTTTGTTTTAGATTTTTAATTAACATTTCGTGCATTTCCTCCTCTTGCCTTAATTACATCTCGAAGAAGGCTCGGCATACTTTCTACCCGTCTGGAAATGTCTCTTTGCTGGAAGTTAGCCCATTCTTCTCGAAGAGTCCTTTGAAGATCGTGGAGTGTATCAGGAAGTGATGGGCGTGTTCTTATTCGTCTTTTGAGGTTATCCCAAAAATGTTCGAAGGGATTTACGTCTGAAGAATGGGCTGGCCAGGCTAAGACCCTGATGTGCTGTTAAAGGTACGATTGTCCTATGCGAGCGACATGTGGACGAGCATTATCGTTCATTAGAATAGGATTGTCGCTGATTTCATCGACGATCGGCAACGCACGATGTTCCAAAATTTCACCCACATAGCGAGTGGCAGTCAAAGACCTTCCACGAACAACAACCAGCTCTCTGCGACTCTCCATTGAAATTCCCGCCCACACCATCACTGAGCTACGTTGAAATGGTTAGCTCTGGGAAAAATTACAAACTTCGTACTCTTTCACGCCCATCTGGAGAACGTAGAGCAAATCTACT